AAATTAAGTTTCTCTGAATTACTCTTCTGATCAGAAATTAGGTTCTTTACCCTAGGTTGAAAGCTTTAAAAAATATGCCAGTGCCTGAACTGTACCTCTAGGTATTCTGAATGGGAGGGTGTGTGTGTGTGTGTGTGTGTGTGTTTAAGCTCACTGGGTGATTCTAATATACAGCCAGAGTTAAAACCAGTGGACTAGATGATCTGTAGGATTTTCTCCCTACCCTGTCAAAGTTCTGGCCGTTGTAGAATGTAACAACTGTTCAGTATTTACAGTCTTAAAAGGCATGGATTTTACTTGCCAACCTAAACTGTGAACTCGGTTCTTGCTCTACAAGTCTCTGCCAGAGTTTGTGTTAGGTACATGCACAGTACTGTAAAGAGGGTAAGGTCTATTGTATGTATTCTGTGTACATTCAAACTCAGACTTTTGAACAGATCATATTTAATTTTCTGTAGGCAGAATATTATATTGTAACTTGGAAGCATTTAAGGTAGAAAAAAACCCAAAACGTCTTTTAATCATTGCTAAATGCTTATATCCTTCTTCATTGGCTACATAGAGATGCATGTTGACATTGGTTTAGTGTGTATAGCACTAAATGTGTAATAATTTGGTCTTTCATAAATGGAAAGAATGTTTTCATGATAGCCAGTCATATATCTTTTTCCCTTTTCAATTTGTGTTGAAAAATAGCATTTTGTGCCCAATTTTTCTTCAGGATGAAGATATAACGCTTCAGATAACAGAGAGTGAAGATAATGAAGAGGATGACATGGTTGATGTTATCTGGCGTCAGTTAATATCAAGCTGCCCATGGCTCTCAGAGCTGGATGAAAGTGCAACTGAGGGAGTTATTAAAGTGTGGAGGAAAGTTGTAGATAGAATCTTCAGCCTGTACAAACTCTCTTGCAGTGCATATTTTACTTTTCTTAAACTCAATGCTGGTCAAGTAGGTAGCACTGTGTTCTGTTTTTTTAAAAATTTATTTAGAATTTATTTCGTATTAAACAGAAGCAATGTTCTGAATTGTTTTCTTATTTCTTCCCTTAATTGTTCACCCCTAGATTCCTTTAGATGAGGATGACCCCAGGCTACATCTTAGTCACAGAGTGGAACAGAGCACTGATGACATGATTGTGATGGCCACGTTGCGGCTGCTCAGGTTGCTGGTGAAACATGCAGGCGAGCTTCGGCAGTACCTGGAGCACGGCTTGGAAACAACACCTACTGCTCCGTGGAGAGGTGATGGCTGTGTTTTCGGAAAAATTATTTCTGAGTAGGATATATAAGACAGTAAAAAAATTAGTGGTTTCTTCTTATTTATTATTGGGATGTGTTAAAGAATAATTGTATTAGTTCATGGGACACCCTGGACTTCTTGTTACACCACTAAGACCTTTGCTCCCGCCTTTCGGAGAAATGGAAGACTCAGAGGCTTTTTATATACAAAATGAGGTTTGGAGAGGGTGGTGAGAACAAGTTTCAAAAAGATTT